TACCTTGTACGGCAGTGGCAAAGGGGAGAACGCTATCGGTTGGCGGCTTCGTGCTACCTTCTTCGACTTCGACTACGGCAGCGAAGAGAACACGGTTGGATTGCAACTTCGTGCTACCTTGTACGGCAGTAGCAAAGGGGAGAATGCTATCGGGTGGCGGCTTCGTGCTACCTTCTTCGACTTCGACTACGGCAGCGGAGAGAACACGGTTGGATTGCAACTTCGTGCTAAATTGTACGGCATGGGCAATGGGGAGATTGCTATCGGGTGGCGGCTTCGTGCTACCTTCTTCGACTTCGACTACGGCAGCGGAGAGAACACGGTTGGATTGCAACTTCGTGCTACCTTGTACGGCAGTGGCAAAGGGAAGAACGCTGTTGGGTGGCTGCTTCATGCTACCTTGGACGGCATTGGCAACAGGGAGAACGCTGTTAAGCGGCAACTTCGTGGTACGTTGGAAGGCGCTGGCGCTGAGAACACTGCTGGACTGCAACTTCATGCTACCTTCGGCGATCTCAGTTTCTCAAATTCTCTTGCTCTGCAATCGGGTAAACTCCAGCAGCCTTGCATTGGATCTATGACCGTCGCTGGCATCTACGTGGTGGCTCCTGTGCAATTGATATACGGCTTGGAAAAGCCCGACTGTTGTGACACAACTCTGATGGTTCAGGTGAAGCCTGATGGCACGTGTTACCTATTTGGCTCGCAGATCCCCATCCTGATGCCTGCTCAAGCAGCACTCCCATTCTTTTCTGGCAGAGCCCAGTTGCCATTGCCTAGGTTGATTATGCCAAGGCAGCTAAGAGCTGCGGCCTCAGGAGCTCAATCTGTCCGTGCAGCACAAGCACTCGGATTGATCCCTGTTGTTATGGGGGAGGCTGCCTTGGGGTGGAGAAGGCTCCAAGGGCGTTGGGACCTCAGTCGGCCCAACTCCAGGCCCTTCAAGAGCAATCTCTGCTGCATATGCTTGTGCCCCTGGTCGTGGGCGAGCGGTAAAGCCGCCCTTTTAATCCCCTGCTCCCATGTCAGCATGCACTGGGATTGCTTCATGCGATTCCTCTACGAGTCAAGTGAGCCCTCCTGTCCCATCTGCAGGAACGTAGTGAATGGAGTTGTAGAAATCGGAGATGGCACCTAGACTGAAACTTTAAGCTTGACATATTCTTGTACCTTGGGTAAAGGGACGCCCTGACCCTAGGCAGCAAAGTCCTGCACTTCAGGGGAGCCAAGGGGGGCTGACGAGCACTCAAAGCTCTGTTCCTGCGGAGCCCTCGCGGGGGTTACCGGGGCGGGCACAAAGCCCTGCACCTCAGGGGAGCAAAGGGGGCTTACGAGCACTAAAAGCTCTGTTCCACCGAACCCCTCGCAAGGGTTACGGGGGGCAGGCACTATCCATACCCAAATGGGGGGCACTATCCATATTCAACTAGGCCCTCACGAGGTCTTAGGGGGGCTTACCAGCAGGCTGAAGGGGCTTTGAAGGGCTCCGCTACCCGTACTCAAGACCTACCTTCTAAGCCCCATCATCTTGGTAGGGCTTGGGATTTGTGCCTAAAGGGGTAAATCATGGGTGTGGCAGACCGAAAGTTTCCGTGGCTTCTTTCAAACCTAAGCCTTTGAAGTCACATAGTACTGCAAGCCCTTGCCTTACTGACTGGTTGTACACTGGTTGTACTCTGGTTGTACATAGGGAACGAAAAAGCAAAGCGATTGGGTATGATCATGCTGTTTACTCTTTGGAATAGGGCTACCAGGGTTCTATTTCTCCATTCCCTAAGCACTGGCCACGCCTTTTCAGTCAATCGGCTTAGCATGATATCTCTAATACCTACATGGACCCCAAAAGTATGTAAAATAATGGCCTTTATGGCTGTAATTATGGGTTTAGGGCTATTATTTTACATACTTTTGGGGTTTAGGTAAACCCTTAAATTCTTTACGTCGGCATCGGGACGTCGGGGCGCGAGGCATGCGCGCGTGCGTGCGTGCGTGCGTGAGTGCATGCAGGCGTGCCTGCCTGCATGCCTGCGTGCGTGCCTGCACGTCGCTACATCGGGCCTCGGGGCATATCCGAAGCGGTGTCGATTTTGGATCAGCTGCGGTGAGACTGTACAGAGACAACCTGTGCCAACTGGCCAGCCGTGGCAAGAATCGTATGGGATTTCCAAAGCAATGAGGGTCCTCTTATATGCGTCCCCCTTACACAGAGTACAGTAAGTTTCGGGTGTCATTCTGAAGGGGACCCTTCTTCTTGGAAACACCCATATATGATGTATAATGCAGAAGCCTGAAAAGTTTGGACACCATCTTGTTGCATGCCTTTAAATGCTTGTGCTACAAAAAGTCCTCTAAGAACCCTGCAGACGAGTTGCCTCTTTCAGGTTTCTGTGTTAACTACGTTTTCATGTTAACCGCAGACGATTTGCGATGGGTTGGCAACCATCGATCAGATGGGCCATCCAATTCGCCCAGAGCTGCATGAGGAGGCTTAAAATCGCTGAGGCCTAGCGATGTGCGGTTTGTTTTCTGTGCGACCTTAAAGATGATTGGTCCCCTTAGCTGAAGCTTAAAATGGCTACTAGGCGTCCACAATTCCCACAAGCCTTTCAATCACTTGGGAGGCTTTGTTGGGGATGGTCAGTCACCCTGCAAGCAAAGTAACATATCCTTCGATCCAGCTCCAGCCGGATGAGTAGTGTAGACACCTGAGTAATACACTGCAGTTCGTAAAGCTCCGTTCGATAAGGGATCCCTCTCCTATCCCATAGGAAGAAAGGGAAAGGTTTTTTCTTGGCCGGGGGCGCTTCAACTCCTCAATCATCACAGCATCATAAGTCAGCTGCGACTCCCATATACTCGTAATTACCATGTCTGCGCGGGTGGGCACACTTGAGAGCATCATACTTGCAGCAGTTGGTTGTCAAAAGTATGGCCTTTTTCTGGCACCCAAAATATTAGGGCCATAACACTTGGGACCCAATAATGAATCCCCCCATGTCTTGTTTTGCAGGTCATGGTGTAGGCAGTGCATCTGACGTTGCGTTTCGTTTTTCATATGAGGGCGTTCCCCAAGGAACCTTCCCGAAATTCTCGCAACCAGATACCCTCAACCCTGGACTAGACCATAAAACCTAGACTCAACGCAGGGATAGTCTACCTTGGTTTTTGTAGGGCTGTCCAGTTCGGCAGATCCAGAAATGCTGGACTATACATCTGTCGTCTGAGCAAAAAACTCAAATTAAAACCCCAGCCAAGCCTAAACACCCATCCAAAGTCTCACTCTTAACCCTGGGGGTGGGGGCTTTAAACAATTTCCAATATTGCTTAATGGGCTATACAGGGATGATTTGGGGCTTATATAGAAATACTATCGCAAGAATGCATGATCATAGAGTGGTGTATGCTGCAGCCCAGGCTCTGAGGGTCGCATCCAGTTGCGCATAGGAGCCATGGAGAAGTTGGGCAGGGCTAGTCCAAGCCGCTTGCTTGTCTTGGGTGGAATGGATGGGTTTTGCAAAACGATTTCCTACAAAATCCTTAGCAGAGACCGCCATAATCCCAGAGCCTCCAAGTCAGGTTCGACCAGTTTCACATGGGGCCCTACGGATGGAATCCTGCTATGCAGAAAATAAGTCATACTTGGACAGTCTTCGGCAACTCAGCATCGAAGCTCCTACACCCTGAGCCGTGTTTATGAATGCAGTACTAGGTATACCTGGATATGCGTCTGCAACTTAACAACACGTCCTACACCCTGAGCCACACTTGTATGTCAACCGGTTGAGTCTAAGCTCCAAAGCATCCAAGGCCGCAGTAGCAGCCGAGGCGCGTACCAGCAGAGGACCCGCCCCACCCTTGGCCCCTAGATGGCGAACCTTGCAGCCCAAACCTAAACCCTGAAACCTAAACTTTCTATGGCCAAACGGTGAACAATAATCAACCCTCATCCCTGCACCCTAAACCATTGACTGTGGAGGAGGATGCGGCCTCCAGTTCTGCGGTAGACCCGGCGGAGACTGCGAGCCTTGGGCGGCGGTTCAAGACTGCAGCATTCAGTGGTGCAGGGTTTAGGTCACAATCTTGTTTTTTTCTCGGGCCTAGGGTATAGGGCATGCAGGGTGGTGCAAGATTTCCTCCATCTGCAGTGAAGGTCTCGGGACCAGGTTTCGACATCGAGTTCAGGGTGTGGAGCAGTCTGACAGTCTGAGGGTAGTTTCGGCCGTGCACTTTAGCACATGCGTGGCTGACTTTGACTCATATGGGATACCCGAATTGGGATACTCTTCATGCTGGAATTTGCCGTATACAGAAATTGCAAGAAGGGCTTGTCAGGATTTAGGGATTTGCCTTCTGGGTCGAGGGATCCACGTGCTTCATACCTCGCAGTACCTTCCACTTGCATGCTTGACGAGGATAAGAGCTAACCGTAATCTCTTTCATCCTAGGGCCTAGGGAACGGGGAATGAATTTCTATGGTAAAATAGTTCCTTCCGAGTTTCTGCAGTATTAGCTTGAAGATAAGAGCCCAGCTGGTAAATGATGGTAAGTTGCTCTGAGTACCTATGAAGCCAGCCAGGAGAGGACCAACTGCGACGGCTGGATCCTCTTCGCATGAGGCGCTGCCGGAGCAGTATCTGCTTAACGACACGCAGGAGCCTTGCTTTAGATGGCTTGGTCTGAATTTAGGATGATGCTGCGCGTGGGTCTTCAGCAATCTGCAGGACCCTATCCCGCAGTTTCCAGACACCGATGATGACTTTGAGGGGCCAATTCATCCAAACATGCAGCCCAAGAAGGCCTGCACTAACGTCCTGTGCACTGGCCGGTGCCGTTTCGGCGACAGCTGCTCGCATTGCCATCTCCATGACCGGGATGAGAGGCTGCATCGACCTCCGAAGTCGCGGCGTGAGCGCCTGAGCCGACGCTCTAGTCCGGCACAGTTTGTTGTGCCAGGCGCGCTGGTCAGTGTTCCGGTCATTAGCCCGAACTGCATGCAGGTTTCGCATATGTGCGGACGCGTCGTTAGTGTGGATTTTACAGGTGTCTGCAGCATCATCCTCGAAGGCCATCAGGATGCACCGTTCCTCACGACCGTTGAGCATGCCGCCTCTTTTGTCTTTCAAGCACACAGCGTGGGTCTATTCTTTCAAGAACCAAGCGTGGGTCTATCAGTGGGTGAACCAACCTCATTCACTATGCCTGAGAATCTGGAAGCTGGCATCCTGTGGATGCTCATCAGCCCTGTAGTTCTCATAGCCGCCGCGCGCTTTGGCTTGCTCTGGACTGTCGGGATTCTTCTTGCCAGTGTTGGGCTGGCCTGCAACAGCAGCAAGACTGTAAGAATGCTCTTGGTCATCTTCACGCTTAAGCTCGGGGTCGCCTTGGGAGATGTTGCCAATTGTATGCTCTCTGTTGTGCAGATGCTGTGGTCTCTTGGCCGGACAGTGGGCGTTTGTGCCTACAAGCACTGGGTTTGCCTCTGGAGCAACGAGGTTTTGAGGGAGAAAAGGTGCTTCTCGTGCGAGGATATCCTCGACCGGGACAGCGATAGCGCGGCAATCTTCCTCCCATGCAATGACATGTGTTTTCACTGGGATTGCTTCCTCCTCGCCTTGTCCAACCGGCACATGCCTCCAACATGCCCTAAGTGCGAGGTGGAGGTCAAACGCGTGACTTATGCTCCCCCGCTTGACATTGACCAATAGGATGTTCTGAAATTGAGCTATTGGCCTGTCCAGTTTTGTATCGGCACCGCAAAGAGGCAACCAATTCCAAATGCTTCACAGTATGCTCTGTAACAACATGTAGGTTCATGTCGATCGAATTCATTCCGCAGTATGCCTTAGAGGTGCTGGCTTTGTATAGAGTCTGGATGGCATCCATCGATCGGATGGGCCATCCAAGCGTCCGTGCGGCAGGTGAAGAAAGGCCTACCTATGCCTGGGCTCTTTTGAGCCAATCCCACTGTCAGAGATCACATGCAAGCCTGCATGTGCTGGTTCTTACCAGGGAATGAGGGAATGAAAGCGAGGATGCAAACTACTGAGACTGACTATACTATACGTATGGCGAGCATACAGCGGCTACTATACGGATCCATTCCTCCATTCCCTAGTAACAGCTAGCTACAAGTAGTAAATACAGCATAGGCCATGTCACAGTCTTGGTGCCAGGAACTTCCGCAGGAAATGCAGCGCCGCGAGGATCGGGTGGCTGCCATCTCCGGGGAACCCGCGGCCGTGCGCGAGGAAGTCATGTCAGGTTTAGGATGCACGGCTTGGGGAGTGTAGCCTTGGGCTTGGGTAGGTTTTAGGTGTGGGGCTTGAAGTTTACGGGGTTGCTGTTAAGGAATGGAACTTGACTGAAGTAACTATAATTAGGAAACCCCATAATTTACTAGATATTCATTTTGTGGTAATTGAGTTCCTCAACAGCAACCCAGTTCAGGGCAGACCCAAGCGCCTGTGTGGTAGGCCATCAGCGGAGTGCTTGAGCGCGTGTTTGATCGCTCTGGGCTACCTGATACGGCTGGAGACCCAGCTACATTCTCCTTGATTTGGAGGTGGGCTTTGGTTCCAACTGCAGCGAGCAGAAGCCTGAGAGGTGTAGGAGAAAGAGGCTTTAGGGAGATCCGTAGGGGTTTTAGTTTTAGGTTCATGATTGCAGGGCTTCGGATTTAGCAGGTCATGGGGCTTCAAATGCGGTTGGTGTCCCAGAAGCCGAGCGAGTTGGGCCCATGTTGTCTGAAAGCACGCTTTGATGTGGGGGAGCTACTGTCTGACCTAAGGCATCCACGGCTCTGTTCCATTCAAATATAAGGATTGGAACCCCTAAAGCCCTAAAGCCCTTCACCCTGGACCCCAAAGTGGAGATTCAAAGGTGCTCTTTCGCGGGCGTTACGAAAGCTTATAAACCCCTTGAAAGCCCAACTCGTCTGTTGGTTGGTCAAAAATAGCAGCGGCTGTTAGGAACCCGGGTGGTGCACAGGGCTCACAAGTTTGAAATGGGGACTCTTTTGCTAAACCCCATTTGAGGCCAAGTGAAACCCCACAAGACATTTCCACAAAGCATTTTTCACTCGTAGAACCTGCAAAGACATGCTGAAACCAAGCAAGTCTGGGATAGCAGAAGCCTGGTGCCAGAGAATAGGCTGATGCGTCGGCTCGAGATCGGGGCTACATTGTAGAGGCGCCCGGGAGCAGGCTTCGATGAAGCAATTGTGGGGTACAGATAGGTTGTATTCAATTGGGGCCTTTGCGCCCAGTACGTAGATGTGCAAAAACAGAGCTGAGTTGGGAATCTGACTCTGTAGCAGTTTTGGGATGTTTGGCCTCTCGATTTGGGTTGTGAGGGTGCAAAGTAAAATGTACATGGGCGGGGTTTGGCGAGTTGACGCGATGCCCTAAACGCTGAACCTTCGACCCATACCTGGTAGTTACAAAGCTCAGAACACTGAAGCGAACAGCCCTTAGTCGCACTGAGAGCTTCAAACGTGGTCCTCTGAAAGCGTGGGTGCTCCCATAAGCTAAACACCCGAACCCTCTCTCAGTGCGTCATCCCGACCTATCCCTACAAGTGTTAGACCTTCTGCAATGGTTTTGGCATTGCTCTGTATATATATATATATGTACATATGTACTTATGCATATGAATATGTATGGGATTCCGCGTAGTATTGGTGAGTGTATGTACTTGCGAGCGTCTCCAGGCAGGCTATGAACAGCAGCATAGCGTCCGTTACGTGAGCCAGCCGTGTGAACTTCCCTCAGAGGGCGCCCGCCTGTCATGTCGAGAAAGCGCCAAGACTGAATGCCATGCACGTAAATCCCTTCACAGACCTTCCAAAGCGTTCCCTGAGCCGCCAGAAGGGGAGCCAATCATGTTGAGAACCATCCAGGTCTTGGTGCCAGAAAAGTGTGGCTCACACCTCATCGGTCAGAAAGGCGAGCGCGTCAAAACGCTGTGCCAGGCGCCACATTCTTTAAGAGGGCTAAGCTGGGGTGGGGGCAGGGATGAGGTCTATTTTTTTCAGATTTGGGGGCTCTGCAAGGCATGGAGAGTAGGGCCAAGCAGGACGTGTTCTGTGAAGGTGTTGTGGCGGCCTGGGTTTCGGCACCTCGCAAGTGTTGTGACAGCATAGTTTCTTCCTTGCATTGAAGGTCACTCTGACCAGGAACCCGCCTATATGGTCCACGGTCCATAAAAAGGGGCCATTTAAGGTTCCAGGTTAGTTTGAGACCTACCTTGATTACTCTTACTTTTTCTGTTAATACTAGCCCTGAATTACCCTAAACCCTATTCAGGGTTCCATTCCAGTTGGGGGGGTTAGCATGCCTTCGGTTTCGGGTTGTCCGGTTTGTACCAGTCTTTGGTCAACCTCGGGTCGGTATTTCTTAGAGAACGCTCACATGTCCCTTGGGCCCGTAGAGCCACTTCACACCCAAGCCGTGATATTCGCAGACAAGGACTTGGATTGGATTTTCGAGGTGTGATCCAATGGTGGCAGCTGAGTTGGGCACTGCCCGCACCCACCAACAGTTAGACAAGAACTGTATTTTAGTTTTAGACGTGTGCATATATCTACTAGGGCCTGTAATGTTAATCCTACTACGGACAGTTACTTGGTGGAGGCAGTTCCCAATGTGGCACTATCGAGGTTTGATATGATACCCTGAAGGTTGTACCCCAGAAGGTTTTGATATAGGGTCTATTTGCTCAGAATAGGGCGTGGGGCGTCTTAGGCGATAGTCATACATGGTCTTGGCACTTTATCCAACATACTCCTAGCCCAGCTTGGGCCAGCGTTTCGCAGAGAGCCCCATGCAAGCGAGAACAGTGAGGGACACCAAGGGGCTGCATATGTTGTCCCTGGAAACGGAGTCATACATGTCTAGTGTGTCTGGTATTTCTGACCTTGGTGTTTCCGACAACTAGGGTTCTCCTAGCTTTTGGAAGCCCCTGTGTAGACCCATTCAACAAGCTCTAGGGTCCTGTGTCGGGTCTAGATCTTCCCCAGTGTGACGCATCCCTTACCTTTCAAACCTATTCTAATAGCCCAAAGGTCTATGGAGAATTGCAAGAACTGGACACCTTTCTTTCTTCGCTTGGCTTTCTTGAGTAAAGCCCTAAGCCCTAAGCCGTCAACCCAAAGCCCTAAATTGTCTTACTGTGTTACCAATTTTTGTGAGCACCGCAACACATCTTTCTTCATCGCAGGAGACCAAGTGTGATATCCGCGTTGGCCAGGCTGGTCCGGTGCTTGTTTGTCAAGGTCCAGAACTGGGTTCCTGGGTTCAGGGTTTAGGGTTGGGGGGTTTCAGGGTTTAAGTTGTCGGGAACAGGATCAGGCCGTTAAGGGCAAGGCGGTTTTTGAATTTAGGCGCGTGTGCATGTATCATGCTCTAAAGGTTTAAAGGTTTGGGATGGAGCAGTTGCGCGCTTGGCATATCAGAGTTCCGGCAATTAGGTGTATGTGTCTAAGCCCTGAGTTTGCCACATAATTATTCCCGGAGAGCACGGCATGTTGAAACTCAAGTCATTTGGGCATCAGATGCAGCAGTTTTTCATATTTCACAAGGATCCAGACATAAATGTGCCTTCCTCCAATGTGCATGCCATTTCAACATGCCGTTCTTCCCTGAGCAGCCCTGAACTTCGGACTTGGACCCTCGTTATGATCCGTATCTGCAGCCGGCACGGAGTCAGCGTCGACACGGAGTCAGTTATAAGGCAGACTTGGGCATCCAACTCCCCTTAAACTGTGTTGTGGCCTGCTGATTGTTCTGAGCTTCCGGAAGCACCCCGCAGAGCCAATGTTTGCATTGCTTGTTGGGACCAGGCACTCCAGCTTCATCATGGAAATCACGCAAAGAACCCCCCCATCCCAATCCAATTTCCAAAAGAATGGACTGCGTTGTGGCAAGCCTCAAGTTTGAGCTATAGTCTAAATTCCTAGTATCCCCACCGATATGCTTTGATCCCTACTATTGGACACCCCTACTTTTAGAGAACTTACATAATATTGCAATTAATTACTTGTGCCGTACAAGAATCCTACATATCGATGCGAGTCACAGGACCAATGTTAATGTGATCAATCTATTTAACTCATCTGTTTGTTATGTTTTTAGATTAATCTGATGCATTACTTGATTTAACTCGATTAATTAATGTAATTGATTTTTCGTGCGACAACGCAAGGACCCTGTTTCTGGCCTGGAGCAGAAAAAGGCCGGCCCACCGGGGCTGAGCTTAAGACTCTAGGGTTTAGTTGTTTTTTTTGTTTTGGAATTTGCTTCAGGGTATTGGGTTTAGGGTTAATCCTTTGGAGCAGAGAGGAGATTGAGATGATTATGAGTGACTTGCTGTGCGAGTGATGTTTTAGACTTTTCAGGGGTGTCTCAAACACGAGCTCTTGCAACCAGAAAGCAAAATGAGCCCCCTTTTCGGGGGAAAGCTGGGATCAGAATGAGGGGTTGTGGAATAGTTGCTTCTTGAAATGACGAGGTATCGAAGTTGAATTTTGGACCACGGTTAAGTGCAAGAATAGGGGAGCTTCCACAAAGAGGGTGCTCATGGGGCTATCCCTTTTGCGGCTTCTCATGCTGGAAGGTACCATAGCTGCCATAGCTTGGATCCATTTTGCTTTCTTTCTCGCCTGACGAGCTGTTGTTCTGATTTGAGGGGGGAATTTTGGTTACCCCAATGCCCTAAAGAAGGCAAGAAACCCTAAACCCAGTAAGAGTCATATCATAGTCATGAGTCATATATAGTATGGAGCTCTTGGTCTGGGAGTTGGGGTTGCCAACTAATAGACCGCAGGTAGCCTCAGGTTCCATTTTGTTTTGCCTATTTCTTTTCCATATGGTTCTCTATGTTTAGACATGGCTCATCTGAGCCCTGTCAGTTTGTCTCTGAGTGCCTTTTCGAAGCACCCCAAATGTCTCAACCCCACACCGAAAAACCCAAGCGGTCCACTTATCCCGGATGTCCACTTAATGCCACTCATAAACCCTAAACTTTGAACCCGCACCTACAATTCCCAGTTCTTGCACCTTAAATCCGCAGCCGAAAATCCCAAACCCAAATCTTAAACCCCAAATCCTACGCCTTGTTGGAGCCCCAAATCCTAAATCCAAAGCCCTAAGCCCTAAGCCCTAAGCCCTATGAGCCCTGAACCCTCCTGTCTGGACTCCTAGCAGGTTCGCATCAGCGCGAACAACATCCAGGAAGCCTCCGGAGCTGTATGGAGGCCTATAGTTTTCCCCCAAGCTAAGGGGTGGTCCCTTCATAGCGATATTGGGGTTGTATAGGTCTACATATACACACAAGGTGATGGGGATGTACTCAATCACCTTACTCCAGGGTCCGACAACATTTTTTTTGCAGATTGGTTCGGATATGGAGCTTGAAGAAGGGTTTTTGTGTTACGCGCTCAAGTTTTCATGTAACATCTAGAGCCTCGTGGTTTTTGGTTTCGGGACCCCAGTTGGAACGTAACGGACGTAACCAATGCCCCCGAAGAAGTCCTGCACGTTGTTGCACCCTTGCTGCCTTTCGCGCTCGAGCTGGCGACGCTGTTTGCTTGGGATGTGAATCTGCGCTATGTGCACACGGCGCGCATGAACACTTGCACGAAGCCTTGGCGCAGAGACCCGATGCTCGATGAAGACCTGGGTGTACCAGAGCCTATTTAAGAGCGACGAGTTTGAACAGATGACATGGACATGATCAGTCTGACAATGGGTCTGGCGTGCGCAAGCTGCGAGCGGGTGTCAGACATTTACTCAGGGGCCACAGGTACATCAGCACCTGGGGAAAGCAATGGCGAGGATGAGCCACCTTATGTCGCGCAATCGCGCACTACATGGTGCAAGATAGATTTTGTCAGACCTAGTAATATGCTAACCTTGCGCTGGGCCCAGTGCTCGCGTGACTTTGCACACGCAATTTGCTGGCTACTGTGCCAAGGCTAGTTGCCTAGGGTTTGGGGCCTAGGGGATTCCAGCCTAAAGGCAAAGTCAGTTGGATAGGTGAGCCTCATGTCCTGGACAAAGTGCATGGTGCTGCCTTCTGTGCGGAATGAACCCCGTAATCTCTCAGAAGTTCCTAGCTTTCTTCCAGGTAGGCCTCGAAAGGATGAAACCCTAGGGGGGGGCTGCAATGCAATCTCATTGTGCAGAATGTGAAAGACGGCAGGATGGAACACCCATAGGAAATCCTCAGTTGCCCTTCAGCAATAAGAGGATTTTGGTAATGCCGACTCCTTTCTTGGGACACGTGAGAGTCAAATTGTAGTCCCTGGGGCCTGTTTTCGGGGTTAGGTAGGAACATCCTTTATCATCTTTTCAATCCTGTACAGGGGTATGATTCGACCAACGCTACCTTACCGTTTCTATTGCTATTAGTGTTCCTCTCACCATGATGATTCTCGCTTTGCTTTGAACCCATTGATATGGCATGTACTTCATCATCCCAGGATTCTAGAACACGTCCGCTAATGTCCCCATGTCCCCAGACCATTCTTTCACTTAAGCTCCACACCCCAAGCCCGACCCCTCAAAATGTACATTGTAGAGCGCTAAGCGGGGATCTAGCGGCCTATGCGGATACCTATGCAGTATGTGCTCGACACATATGAACCCTCTGGGCCCATACTTCGAGCTTAGGATCCAAGTTTGTAAAGCCCTGATCGAACTTTCTAAGCCTTAATTCCCAAGCCTGCGCCATTGATGGTTATACTTCTCAGTTTTCTGTTTAAAGCTACAATCCAAGTAGTACAGAACTTCAGGTTCTAGTGTTCAAATGCCCAGAAAACCAAATGCGTCGCGGTCAACCTGCTATGGAGGCTGTTAGAAGTCTTGGGCGAGCTGGTAGCAGGCGCATTGCACACGGTTTTAATGGGTTCCCCAGCCAGCCCACCCTATACTACCCATCACCCAAGATGTCGATGCCTTGATTGGGCTCATTTAAGGTTAATTGAGACCAATTAAAAGGCAACCTTAAGGTGGGTATTGCCAGGGTGTAGTTAGGAGAACCCACAAGAGTCAGCCCCACCAAAACAGGTCCACACTATAGTGATAGGGTGCTCCTCTGGGGGTTTGGGGTAACGCAGCTTTTTTCTTATTGGTGATTATGTGG